CCCCCGTACCCACCCCAATGGACCTTGTGGAAATAAATGGATTAGTCCATCAAATTGCTCATCAAAATTTAGCTGTGTATACAAAATTTCATTCATTTATCACAACGTGATTGAGAGATATTGCAAAAAAATTATTTCCATTCCTCCCTCTTCAATGGGTCCCTTTGCCCTTAGGAAGCATTTCCGGACCCATGTTCATATGAACTTTTTTACTTAGTTTTGATCATAGAATCGGCCTGTTCAGGGTTGGCAGCTAGTTATGAGACGCCCTGTATAGTCCAGGAGAATTACACATTGACATGGCTGTTGCTTGACGTAATTTAGATATTAGTAAAAATCGCTCGGAAATTATATATATACAATGAAAATATAAGGTTGCGCCAAGAAAAAAAGTTGTGCTATTTGCAGAAAAAAATAAAATTTGCAAAAATACTCAAAAATGACGTGTTTTTTCTAACATTTTCCAACATAACTTCTTAAATATGCAGTTTACAGAAAAAACTATTACTGATGAAATTGTTTATTTCGAAATTTGCTACAAGATAGAATAGTTTTGATACCTGCGCGTATCATATTTTTGTTGCTAAATAGCCAAAACAAGGTAAGAAAGTGATGAAAATCTAGGTAATTTGAAAGCGTCAAATTGACAAGCAAGAAATTGTTCAATTCTACTATAAATGTAGATGTAAGTACTTTAAATGATTACAAAACGAAATTCCAAATCCCGATCAAAATCGATCTAATAGTTTTGGTATGACACAATTTGTTACTAAATTTCAGCGCGAAATGTCGTTATTTTTTTACGTGAGTGCTGGGGTTAAAGTTAGACATTTTAATCGGCGCTGGTTTTTTTACACATACTTGGACCCCTTAACTATCATATAGAATCGTTATAATATTAATTTTCTTGTTTTGAATAACTTTGGGAGCGATTTTAAAAGTTCGAAAAATTTTGACTTTATAAACAAATACTTTCATGAAGCGGTTTTGCGGGTTGGAAAATATACCAAAGTACTAAAAAACAGTTCTCGGAAAGACGCTTAATTTGAAAAAAGAACGTTCAAATCGGTCGTATAAGTTTCGAGATATCGAGTGTCAAAGTCAACAAGCGTTAGCTGCAAAACTATGCATAATGTAACGACAAGAAAATATAAATTTGGTAGGTTTTTTAAGAACTTTTCGTATGTTCTTTTATAAATATTATCGCACGTGTGCTTTTTTATGAAAATTCAATGAATATCGCCAAGCCGACCATTTGAGCCGCAAAACCGGGGGGAATGAAGAAATTGAAATTAATTGTACGTTCAAAAAGAGCGTGCCCTTTTTGGCGATCAATATCTCGGCTTCTACGGCTCCGATTTTGATGATTTTTTAAAATCAATATATCATAATAAGAGGAATTCAATTATCCAGATTTCATTAAAATACTATAAAGCCCTATCAGCCTATTACGACTACTTACAATTTCACACATTTCGTTGTTGCTGTATATTCATGCAAATAATAATAATATCGATGGCAGATATACATAGTCCATTGTTATTAGTTATTAGTTAATAATTCGTAATAATGTTTAAAACCTTGAAAATTTTATTTAATATGTAATTTATTTATTGTATACATAAATAATATAGAAAAAAATGCGGATACAAATAATTATTTGATATTTATAAAACGTATCATCGCATTATTAAATTATTCTGCTTTTTTATAGCATAGTTGCTGTTTTCGCTCTCAAAATTTTCTTCTACAGGCTGTCATATGGTGACGACCCATTAAAATATTTCGGAGATTACTTCGATTTGAATTTTGAAAATTTGGGACCTGGTGGTTTTAGAGGTTTTATTTAAAGAGTTTAAATAAAATAATGCCTTTGTTGTAGTACTTCCGATTATACCGGTAGTCGCCACCTATTTGCTTATTATAAATGGAATATCCTGTATATTTTTGCATGTTTGGATTCTACGCGTAATTTTAGGGGAATTTTATAAAGCTTCCCTATATCCATCTCTAATGGTCTAATGGTCTTCGACCTATTTCAATTTCATATTTATTGTCGCATTTGATTGACCGAACCGCCAAAACTTGGTTTTTCTAAATTAGACACCCTGTATATTTGATCAAAATCTGTTGTAAAAATTTACTCTATATCTATCCATATTACATCTCCATATACCTATCTTTTAATTTTTCTGTTCTTACGGTGTTTGTGATAAATAAAATGATCCAATTTCTCGCGAAGATGGCTATGAAATTGCTAGCAAATTTAAAAAATCAAATTAACCAACCATAAGTCATCATTTGGTGTTAATCTGACAGTGGTACCTACATGCAATTAGTTAAACACTGATGAAAAAAGTGAAAAACTTTAGTAATACGATGATTATGAAAATAAACACGTTTTATAAACACAAATAAATAATTATTTGTATCTATACTTTTTTCTATATTATATCCATACAATAAATAAATTACATATTAAATAAAAATTTCAAGATTTTAATTAAACATTATTACCACGTAATTATTAAAACTAATACCTATTAACAGTGGATTATGTACCTATATCCTACCATAAATATTATTTACATGAATATACAGTAGGTATAACAATGAAATGTGAAAAATTTTAAATAGTCGTAATAGACAGAAAAGGGCTTTATAATATTTTAATGAATTTAATTGATAATTGAATTCCTCTGATTTTGCTTTATCGACTAAAAAAAAATCATCAAAATCGGAGCCATAGAAGCCGAGATATTGAACGCCGAAGCGCAACTTATAGGACCGATTTGAATGTTCTTTTTTTCAAGTTAAGCGTCTTTCCGAGAACTGTTTTTTAGTACTTTGGTATATTTTCCAACTCGCAAAACCGCTTCACGAAAGTATTTGTTTATAAAGTCAAAATTTTTCGAACTTTTAAAATCGCTCCAAAAATTATTCAAAAAAAGAAAATTAATATTATAACGATTCTATATGATAGTTAAGGGGTCCAAGTATGTGTAGAAAAATCAGCGCCAATTAAAATGCCTAACCCAGCACTCACGTAAAAAAATAACGACATTTCGCGCTGAAATTTAGTAACAAATTGTCTCACACCAAAACTATCAGATCGATTTCGATCGGGTTTTGAGATTTCGTTTTGTAATCCTTTAAAGTACTTACATACACATTTATAGTAGAATTAGACAATTTCTTACCTATCAGTTGAACGCTTCAAAATTACCTCGATTTTCATCACTTTCTCACGCTGTTTTGGCTATCTAGCAACAAAAATATGAAATGCGCAGGTATCAAAACAATTCTGTATTATAGCAAATTTCATAACAAACAATTTCATCAGTAATAGTTTTTTCTGTAAACTGCATATTTAAGAAGTTATGTTAGAATGTTAGAAAAAACACGTAATTTTGGAGTATTTTGCAGTTATTAATTTTTTATGCAAATAGCACTTTTTTCTTGGCGCAACGTTATATTTTCATTGTTTATATTATTTTCGACCAATTTTTACTAATATCTAATCTACGTCAATCAACAGCCATATCTCGAAGGTTTTGGGCTTAATTCTCTTGGACTAATACGTATCTCCATTCAATCTAGGTGACAGAATTTATGAGACCTTCGAATGCCGATCTACAGCAATTTCGGCTTAAGCAGATGGATCAGTTGTCTTGAAAAATTGACTTCGTTTGTAAGCAAAATCTGCTGCAGGATTTTACACTTCACGGTAAAAGACCTTGGACTCTTATATGTCAAAGGTAGATAAAATTTGTACCTTTGAAATGGCCTATATCGTCAAGTTGTTGATAATAATAATTAATTGCAAGGCAATTCTTCTAGTGCTGGTATATCTGTTCTTCATTAGTCAAATTCAGTACTNATTTTTACTAATATCTAATCTACGTCAATCAACAGCCATATCTCGAAGGTTTTGGGCTTAATTCTCTTGGACTAATACGTATCTCCATTCAATCTAGGTGACAGAATTTATGAGACCTTCGAATGCCGATCTACAGCAATTTCGGCTTAAGCAGATGGATCAGTTCTCTTGAAAAATTGACTTCGTTTGTAAGCAAAATCTGCTGCAGGATTTTACACTTCACGGTAAAAGACCTTGGACTCTTATATGTCAAAGGTAGATAAAATTTGTACCTTTGAAATGGCCTATATCGTCAAGTTGTTGATAATAATAATTAATTGCAAGGCAATTCTTCTAGTGCTGGTATATCTGTTCTTCATTAGTCAAATTCAGTACTGCTTCTTACAAAGTGGGTGTTCTTTTCCTTGGAAGTATCCTACTATTTTTATATAAACGTCATTTAATTTTAATTTATACATAATTTCTCTTGTTAATGTTTGTAGCGAGAAGGGAAGCTGCCTGATAAAATAATCCCAAGTAAATTGTGGAAAAATAAGATCTCTCTATAGCAGCTGATTTTTTCGTGATCAAACAACATCAACAAAAGAGTAAATTTATTTTCTCAAATTCAAAACGAGGTGCAACATTTCAAACCTAAAATGAAAATCACCTTCTAAACTTACCTATACACACCCTGGGCCCTTCCCCGAAGGGAATGTGAGCATATGGATGTCTGGCCTTCTTGTTTTCCTCTGTGAACCTGTCTGGATCAAATTCGGTAGGATTATCGTAATATTCCTTATCATAGTGGTACCCCACGATGGGAATAAACACCCTGGTGCCCTTCTCTATAACGATGTCCTCCCCAGGTACCTTATAGTCTTCTACGCATAGTCTACTGACCATTGGGAGCGGTGGATACTTCCTTAGAGCCTCTGAAATTGACTCGGATAAAAAAAATGGAGTCACAGAAGCCTCGGCTTACCGTCAATAACTTGCTTCATATACGTCAACTCGCTAAGTGAATCGTAAATGATTTTGTGGTTGTGCTTCGCTAAAACCGTACGGATTTCTTCTCGGACTTTGTCTTGGATGTCCTGATGAGTGGCCAGTTCGTACAAGACGAAAGAGGCTGTGGTCGAACTAGTTTCAAAGCCTGCAAGGAAGAAGATGAAGCATTGCGCCGCTAGTTCGTCCATGGTCAGAGATTTGCTGTCCCCTACAATTGAAAATCCAACTATCTTAGAGTATTTCAAAAAGTACCAGCAATTGTTCAACAACTGGCAACTACCACGGGAGCTGCAAGCTTGTGTTGAAAATAAGGCATAAGATTACTATCAAGCGAAGCAAGAATTTGGAGAAAATATTCTTACCCTTGTACCCATTCTCCCGGCCTTCCTTGTTATTTTTTATATCGATAAGCAGCTGCAAAACATCGTTCCTTCTAACGTTGTTCGTTTCTCTGTAGGCGACAGTATCTTCGACGACTTTGACGAAGAACTCCGTGATGTCTTTTTCAACAGCTCGTATCTTCAGCAGCTTTCCAAGGGCAGGAAAGTTGGATCTTATGGCAAGACGCAAGCCTTTCATTTTGGTCATGGTGAAGAACTTCTGGCCGGATACTCTGAAGAGCGAATCTGGTTCCTTGAAGCTGTTACACTCTATGCCAAAAGCGCAAGAACCGATGATGTCAGTTGTAAAACGAGCTAAAAAAAATAGTCAATAGTAATATAGTAGTAAGTCTTCACTCAATATTATTTTTAGGCAACCGTCCGGGAAGTGGCTACTTCCCGGACGCTTTTTCTTTGAGAAAGTAGCATTTTTTCGACCTAGTCCGGGAAGTACGCACTTCCCGGACTAGGCCGGGAAGAATCACATCGTTGTTGTCATTGTGAATATGAAAATCTTGGAAGGTATAACATAACAGATTATTCGTGAATTACAAAAAAGGAAAATGTTCGATTCAGCCCGTTGGTATCCACAGTTTTGGGAATCTCGGATTAAGAATTGCAGAATTTTTAAATTTACCCAATCCTAAAAATTACACAGGCCATAGCATGCGTCGAACTTCAGCGACGATATTTGCTGATAATGGTGGAAACATCACAAATTTGAAGAGACACGGTGGCTGGAAGTCTACCAATGTCGCTGAAGGATATATAGACAATTCACTAACAAACAAAATTAAAATTGCCAAGACCATTCAAAAATTATCAGATGAAAACAATCAATATGAAACGGAAACTTTACCTTCTTGTTCTGACTACAAAAGGCATTTAAATATACCAAGTATTTCAAACAAATTAAACCTTTTCAATATTAGCAATTGCTCAAATTTTACTATAAATCTTAATATAAATAAGAATTAGAATGTTTCTGTTAGTACCTATCTTCTGATCGAATTTCAATATTTAATACAAATAAGAATTAAAATGTTCGAAATTTTGTTCTACAAAAAAATATAATAAAGAAATGTGTCTCATTAATTTGTTATTCTACATGGTTGCCGAAAAAATAGTGTACGCAACACGTCCGAAAACAGTTTTTTTGAACTCGCAGACTTCCAGGAGTCGCCTACGGCTCGTCCTAGAATTTTGTCAACTCGTCCAAAAAAACAGTATTTTCCGGACTTGTTACGTAAATAACTATTGTTTAGACCGATCGAAATAACTCATTTAGAGGGAAAAAAAAAGAAAATTGTTACCTGAACTTTTATAAGTGGAAATGGTAATCGGGCTTATAATAAACGAAAAACAAATAAATGCGTGAGCAGGGATGGCGGAGGGTTGATTTGGGGGGTTGAAAAGTTGTGAAAAATTGTATCATAGGGATTTTTGACGAAAGTTAACGTCAAACAAAAACGTATCCAACACAAAAGTTGTAAATCATGAAAAAATCTACAACTTTTGCAGAGGTCACTTTTTAACATAACCTCAAAATTTCCGAGAAAATGAGAAAAACAGTTTTTTTTTCTGATTTTTTTGTATTTTATTTCTCTTTTCCGTAAAAATAATTTAATTTTGACTAAACTTTATGAAAGTATACCTTTCTGTCTCTTAAATATAACCGAAAATTTTTTAGATAAAAAAATCTAGAAGTTTCCGAGATATTCATTTTTTCCGGTCTGAAACACTTTTTTTCAAAGAAAAATTCTACTTAGAAAAATCATAGTACAGAGTTCTGCCGGTGATAATTTGTTTCGTTTTGATATACAGGGTGTTAAAAAAAGAGTGTAAAATATTTCAGGAGGTAATAGTATGTGTTTAGGCGAAAAATAAGTTCAAACAAATAGAAATCCTTTTATAGTTAAAACTCCCCGAAATAGATACCGCTGTATGTACTGTTTTGTAGCCACAAAAAAAACTGAATTTAAAAAACCCACAAAAAAGGAGACGTGTGATAGAATTAAAACGAATCGGTACAAATATTTGGTATAGACCATTTTTAATTATAAACAGTAGTAGTTTTGCTTTTTTACTTTTATAAATCAAATAGTGCATACGGTAGCCAACATCCTCCCATTCCTCTCGTATCCTTTACCCTTGGCTACCATAATAGTGTGACATCATCATCATTTGGTAAGTTTATACATAGTTTCCTTTTTTTTCCTCTCTCTCTTGTCTCCATTATTAGTTACAGTCCATTACGTACTTTATAATAGCTTAATACTAAACATTTGGTCCAGATTCGAGTCGAATTTCGTAGTTTAATAGTAATTAAATAGTAAAACTTTGTTGTTAAAATTAGTTACAATTTAGTTAAAATTCAATTAATAGTATAGTTTTTCTTCATTTAGCGGTTTGTACAAAAACTTTGGAGTTTTTTTGAATTTCGTCGCAGTGTTTTATTGTCTCTATTTATAGAAATAAAACAAGAGTTTAATAATTTTCGGATATTTTCTAGTAGTTTGTTTGCTCATATTTTAATAGTTAAAATCCGAATTTTTAGTGAAATTTAACTGTACATTGATTAGTGGATCAGCTCGGGGTCTTTTATTATTGTACTATACAGGATGGAAAGAAAGACACATAGACTAAATATATTAATCGCAAAGAAGGAGCAGTATTTCTCTCGTATTCAAAAACTATTTGATAGTAGTAAAGATATTTCTACAAACGAAAAAAAGGCTCAATTTCGTATTAGATATGAGACGTTTGAAGCAACTCATATAAAATTTGTAGATGTTTTGGATGAAATCAATTTGTTGCAGTATGAGATAGATACAAATTTCGTTCCAAATTATCAAATCTTAGAGACACTTGATGAGTTGATTTGCCACATAGAATCTGTAGCCAGAAAGGTGATTGTTGCAGATCCTAGTACTAGTAATTCCACAAATTCTATGCAACATATGACTAGGTCTACACGTAAATTACCAGAATTGCCTCTTCCCAAATTTAATGGTGACGTTAAAGATTGGCATTTGTTTATAGAGTGTTATAATAATATGATACACAATAATACAGATTTAACTGATATAGATCGTGTTCATTATTTAATAGGCTGCTTGAGTGGTAGTGCCTTGTCAGTATGTTCCGGAATTGCTCCTACTGGTGATAATTATAGAATTATTTTGAAAGCCCTAATAGATAAATACGAAGACAAACGTGTCATAGCTAATACTTTTTTAGAACAACTACTTCATTTCAAGCAAGCTCCAACCGAAACCAGTAATAGTTTGAATTNGCGCTTCGGTGGCGTTCCCATTAGCACGACCATACATGAAATGCATGTCTGTTAATTCTGCGTTAGAGTAACCAGCCATAGCGAAAGAAAACTTGTGCACTGAGAACAACTGTCAAATACGTACTGTTTATTTCACTAAACATCAACCAACTATTATAAGAAAATACACAACGTTTTTGCAAAATAAAAAAAGGGGCTAAAAAACATAAAACATTCCATATCTCCGCAACCGTTACTTTGCGGACCCATGTTTATTGAGACTTTTCTGCTTATTTTGGTTCATACTATTACCTCCTTAAATATTTTACACTCTTTTTTTAACACCCTGTATACTTTTTGGTGGAATAAAAAAATCTGTAATCACAATTTAAAAACATGCTCAAAAATGCAAAAATAATAAAAAATTACTTGTAAAATGAATTTTTCAGTAATTGTTGATAATTTGATTAAATTTAAAAAAAATCAAAAACTGATTACACCATTCAATTGTACTAAGGTACTCCGGTGAATTTTATGTGTTTATCGATGTGTTTTTTAGACAAAAAAGCTTTAAAGTAAGTAGAAAAAGATTAATAAAGAGTAGGTACGTTTTTTAAAGTACAGAAGAGACTATGATTACTTGAAATAGTCGTCAGTACGACATAGAAAACAATTTTTTACATTTTTTTGACAAGTATGACAAAAGAAGTAGGTATAACTTTATTTCGCTGAATTCGTCTATTTATACTATAAAATATAGACCGTCCTATTAAAAAAAATGTCGGTAATGTTATAGGTCTGTCAAACATGGTTAAAAAAATAGAAAATATTGCAGAAAAGTGACAATTTCTATTTACTAATTGACCTGTTTCAGCGATTTTTTAAAATTTCAACTGGAAAAAAATAAATTTTTTCCATCATTTTAGGACACCCTGTATATTCATATCTAAGATAGGGCCTTATTATGCTTATAAGTTCATACGAATATGTTTTTTTTTTTCTATACAGAGTGATTCAGTTATAATGTCATTAATTTTAACCACGTACTCGGAAGGCCTAATAAAGGCAGAAAATCGAAAAAAATATTACTCGACCTTTTAACAGAGCATTCGAACATTGAATCGAAATAGCGTTGCCACATCAAAAGCACATAAATATTAATAAAATATTCAAATCTACCACAGTTACTCGCATCTTCCGCATTGTTTTCCCTCAAACTTGGAGATCACGTCATACATATCGTCCCTCTTATCAGGTAGGAGCGTATTATCCAAGAAATGGATATACACATACGCCTCTACGTGATAATAGGGACGATATGATGTAGAAAGTATGCAGAATGCAATACAATCCGCAGTTTATTTCGGATTGTTTCGCGTGTCGATCGTAATGGCAAATTTTGCGAATGTTGAATATGCGGAAATGGTGGTTTTATAACGAGCGTTCAAATAAAAACGTGGTCAAGTTGGTTCTGAAAATTTGGACGTAGGGCGTAGCGTATAGCAAATGAACTTAAACGTCATCTGTCAAAGCACTATATCGCCGCTATCGATTTGAATATTTTCGTTTTAAAAAGCGTTTAAAATGGTGTTTTCTCAAGAACAAAAAGTGTTTATCATAGAGTCCTACTTTAGAAATGGACGCAAGATTGATGGAATATGGAAGTATTCTATTGAGGAATGTTTCATAGAATTTCAAAATCAATTTCCCGGCGTTGTTGAGTACAAAAT